AGTTAAAAAGGCGCACAAGCCTTGTGTACCTGTCCGTAATGTGCATTTTGGCGCCAGTTTTTAGCTATCGCTCTTTTACGATAGTGGTACTTTCTAATACCAAAACTGTAAAGAGATAGGATATGTAAACAGCGTAAAATAGATATCTGAAACTTTAGGTTTTAGCCTGTTTTTCAAGCTGCAATCCCTTTTTCGGCGGAAATGTCAATGCAGCGGCATTAGGATAAAAATACTCCTAGGTTTGGCAACTAATCGCATAGCTCATCCTTCACTCACTAAACTCCAAAGATTCAATACACCGAACGGCTGGTTGTCAATGAAGAGGAAAAAAACGCAAACTCTAAAACAAACAGTGTTTGTCGGATCCGCCCTGAAATTTGTATTCAGATAGCCAGTACCGGTACTACAGTGCAACATTGGCATGAAAAAGACTACATGTGCGTGCTTGTTCTTTTTTCAGCCGTAATTCTCTGTACTGCAATGCGACATTAGCAATTTAAAAAAATCACTTTGCATGCACTTGATCTTTTCTAAAAGTAGTCGTCAACTTCTTGTTCTACAGTGCGGCATTGGCGATATATAATAGATACAATACCACTGCGGCGCACTCTGGCGCACTCTGCTGGAAAGCGGCAATTTTTTGACAATTGTCAGCGATATTGTATGCCAACGTTTTTTTACTTTTAGCCACCCTGTATGCCGCAAGCTCACTCACTCACTTCATGCAGTGTTGAAAAGTACACACGAACTACTTGGAGCTCACAGACCAAAGGTGGGCTTTTCGGACCCAAAGCTACCGCATTCGTTACTGCGTTACTGAACCTGAGGTCGATTCATTTTGGAAAACACTACTTCAAAGTACAAACCTTGATTGTTACTCATCGATCTATCTCAAATTTTTCCAAGAGTATGTGCATTGATGTTTTATTAGCGCAAGCAAAGACGTCTTAGCAGTTAAAAGCTGCTTTTTGCTAGTACTCTTCAATACGGAGTCGTGTATGTATAGATCCACAATGTTGCAATTTTACTCAAAACTAGTATATATTATCACGCAAGCGCTCTTGCAACAAATGTGCCTGTTGTTTTGCACAGCATATAGTGGCGCTCCTGGTCGTTTCTTTAGTGCAGGTAAGCTTATCGGTGCAAGAAATGGACGATGGAAACTATAAAAATATGCAACTTTCCCATTAGTTGTTCACATGTTTTACCTTACAAAAGCCAGTGAGCGCAAAAAGCGTAGTGGCTTAAATGCTCGAGGCCGTAATCGGAGGTAGTTTCTCAGCGATTGCGAAAAGGTAACTTTTGTTTGAAAAAAGTTTGCTATTTTATAGGATGGATTAATTTCGTTAAAGCATACCTCCCATGCCTCCAGCTGCAATGATGTAATTAGGAACTAGAGTGAAATGGAGGTTACCTTCTACCTGGAGATTTAATTTATCAAAGCTTATGTCTCAAAGTTGGATGCATTTGTCAGCAAAACAAGAACTAAACAGAGCTCGGCATGAAGAGGCTTTTTTATTTATTTCTTTTTCAACGAAGTCTCCATAGGCTTTGCCGCAAAAGTACGACATCACCTATGACACGATCATGAACGAATCAGACATAAATAAAAAGAGGTGGAACAAAACATAAAACAACATTATAAAAAAGAAAAAAGGAGTTTGTATCCTCTAAATTGGCGGCATGCTGTGTCTGGCGCGCACCCTTGCGCGCTTGGAGCCGGCTTGCCACCGTCATAATATCTGAAGGGCTGTAACTATGCGAGAAGAAGGGGATTTGGGGATCAAACTCTAAGTCGTAGGGTTTCTGATGTAGAAAAGCTATGTAAACTTATAAAAAAAAATTATGGAGAGGAAGGGAACTTAGACTTTTTCTTTTCAGCCACCTCAGATGGCTAAAAAGCCAGCTAACTCCGAAATAAATTTGCCACCCTTCAATTCACATAACTTTATAATTTTCCATACATAACCTAATTCTCTAATGTCCATCTACACACCAATTCCGATGTAATTTCATTTTCTCTTCGTTGTAAAAGAGCCTTTGCTTACTTCGGGGCAGGTTTTGAATTCGTGCGCTTAACCGGCAGAACTGCTGAAACAGAAATTCTTTGGTTTTTGCATTAATGGGATCGATAAGGCAGGAATGACAATCTGTTGCTCTGTAAAGATGAAGAGTGACATAGAATGGAGAAGGTGGTTGTGGAGGAAAGGGCGGGAAACCCCAAACGATATCCGGCTTGCTTCGTAAGCCACCTGTGCGAGCCCCGAACTGCAGTATTAGGTAGTCCCAAAATAAACTCCCTTTTCAAAGAGAACAAGCTGTTTTTGTTTTTCCTTGGTGTACCATTCGATAGAGCGAAGCAAGCTCTACAAAATGACTCTACCGTAGATTCGCCTAGGTCATAATGAAGGTAAAGTTTGGAGCCAAAATCGAAAAAATATTACCTGAAAATTGGGTTTTTTGTGAGAATAAATCCTACGGACTTCAAACTTGGTAATTATACAGTACACACTTAGTAGTACTCAAATGCTCTTATTAGACGCATTTGTGTCAGCAAGATAAGCACTGAAGTAAATTTGGAACGTGGTATGTACGTTATTGATGCAAATTCACTCATTTATTCATTCATTCATACGCTCAAGGCGTTCCAAGTCAAAAACATCAAAGTGTTAGTCATATGAAAACACAACAGTAAAGAAAAATCACCATGCCATCCTAAGCCCAGTCCAGGCGACTACGTAAAGAAATAGTATAGCAACAATGTAAAGAACTTACGTAACATGTTCTCGGGGTGCACATAATCTCGCGC